GATACAAGGGTGTGTTCAGTAGTGTACGATAGCATGCAGTCCGATGCAGTTAGCCAGTGCTGTCTACTATCTTTTGCAAAGCAAATCTTGGCAGCATCCTTAAAGTTGACTCCATCGTTTTGGGCATCTCTACCTAAAAACCTACAGAAGGCCCGTTGTTCAGGCGTTTACCACTGCATATCAAGCATAGCTCTCACAGCAACAGCGAGAAATTCCTATAGCCTAGTTCAACAGATTTGATCTAAGATAGAAGCTGCTGATGCATGCAAGTAACGGAACATGGACTTGCGCTTTCATTAAGAGTTCCTATGAAGCGTTCTTTTCCGGAATACCCGGTAGATATTCCAGGTCACCGGAAATGCGTTATTTCTACGTTCATAAGCTTCAAAATTTAGATGTCACAATTTTGGATTCCAATCAAGAAAGGGCGGACCGAGATTGGCGGGGCTGCAAGACGCTACACTGAACAGTTTCCAATGTTCCAGAGCCAGACTAGAGAGTTTTTGTAATGGTGTAACACAGCTCTCAAAAAGGTCAAGTAAATAAATTGTGCTCATGAGGCCGGCATCCAAGGGGCTCTCCGAAATGTGGAACAGAAGGAAAATAGCACAGCTTGGGCTGACCAATTTACCGCTGTGCACAAAACTAATGACTACAGGACTTACTGCCCTATGAGTGGTCCAAGTCGATCGTGACTGAAGTTAACATTAGAACAGGCTGCGGATTGCGGCTTGACTACAGCGCGTGTCGCATGATCTAGAAAGAAGGAGAAATACGGTTGAGGTACAAATATACAATAAATCGACAACCATGGGAAAATGGCCACGGGAAGCGCAAAAAGTGCAATCGAATGAAGTTTCACAACCTTGGTAATGGATCGAATCGGTAACGGATTGCACTGTAAAGCAAAAGCAAATACAGATAACGTACGTCATGATGGATTGAAGACAAGCATAATGACGTAATTCACAGATTCATGGATTGATACACAGGATCGAAGATTTCACCCGAAATTTTCGGTTCAGTATTGTTTTTGTGTTTCAGTGGCTGCCGTTCATTTGGTAGGTATTGGTTAATAAAGGGTTAAACACTGCTCTTTAAATTCTCAGCGCAAAACAGTAAGTTTGTCAGCGCAAGGATTTGCATAAAAAAATCGCCTAATAACGCACTGCACTGGGTTCTAGATAAAGCGTGAACAACCATTGCACCAGGGTTATTCCACACAGCAACTGCCCGAAACGAGAAAAAATTTGCCTAATAAAAGCGTGCGGTCTGATTTTGAAAGTCGTCTTATCACGTTTCCGCCGTGAATTAGCTGACCCAGTTGTAAAATAACCGTTGGCGAAACCTTGTTCAAACACAACGTAAGTATGTATTGGGTCTCCTTGGGGACGGCGATTCTCCAGCGAGGAAAAGTCTGACACTGCCATTCACGTTTGACTGCTCACAGATTTAAAGCCGGCAACTATTTTGTAGCATCTCGTTGGACCCGCTCAATAAGGGCTAGGTCCTTCGTGCGTCCTGAATAGACAACTTTTTGGCATATTCAAAAATGGTCGAACGTAGGCCCCATAGAGTATTTGGAAGTCCATGCGAGTTATAAGGACAAGGTAAGCCGAATGAAATGTAGAACGACGAATGTATTCTGAGCCGCTTTCTAATTTTTTTAGTGAGAGGAGCATCTTTGGAGAAAAATATTTACCCAATTTTATAATGTCTATCCTCGTGATTTCTTCTGGTCCATTCCCGCGACACAAGGCAGAGGCGTTCGCTGAGTGTCTTCCGACTGATATATGGACGCACTTTTCGTCATTCGGATGGGCATGTTCATTCAAAAATCACCACTTTGTCGCGACTCCATCGAGTTGAAGGCATTATAGTTGTAACTCCTGTTTTAACTTCCGAAATAAGTAGACACGGATTTGGGAGAACACCTGATTGTTGATATAGATAAAAAACAGTGGTGATCCCAAAACGGAGCCTTGAAAGACTCCGACGGCGACTTGCGCCGTAGAAGTTTATATCGAGTCTACTTTCATCCGGAGTGTTTCGTGTAAGGGAAACCCACTAATCCAGCGTAGAAGTTCTCTTCGAATCCCGTACCACTCGAGCTTTTGAAGCATCGGGATATATGGGGCTTTTCAGAAGTCGAAAATTATTGCATCAGATACAAATCCTTAGTATTCAGTCCGATTTAAGCTTTCTGAAAATATGAGCGTGTCTGGGAGGCGAGAACCGTGTTGCGTTGGGGGTATGAAGCTGTTTGCAGTAATCTTGGATGGTCCCCTTCAGAATCCACTCCGTCGGTATGCTAGTTAGGCTAATGAGTCCGTAGCCATTGAGCGACGGGTGTTCACCCTTAGTATTCAGCCCGATTTAAGCTTTTTGAAAATATGAGCATGTCTGGGAGGCAAGAACCGTGTTGCGTTGGGGGTATGAAGCTGTTTGCCGTAAAGTAAACTTGGATGGTCCCCTTCAGAATCCACTCCGTCGGTATACTAGTGAGGCTAATGAGTCCGTAGCCATTGAGCGACGGGTGTTCACCAGTTTCGCAGACTGGCGTGACAATGGCTTTCACCAGGTAGAAATGCTTCACCAATGTAAACAGCGTTTACTTCAGGATCCTTGGTTGGATCTTTTCTGATCGCGACGAGCAGAACGTATTTGTCTTATGCAACAGTTAAGAAATGTTCTCCTCTGTGAAGATCAGGTTTGCTAGAAACCGTTCGTAGTTACGTCTTTACAGGACTTAGTGTACCAAGAACGCTGGGACCAAATGCAGGCCTGCATTGTGTCCGCTGTAGACTTCAGAAACAATCATTGGGTCATCCGTTGGTTCATCGTTTCTGTCCACCAAGGAGGAAGCCTTTGGCTAATTTCCGCGGCGATGTCTCACATACTCAAACAGCATATTTTAGTTTAGGTCCAGTATAGTTATTTGTTTTCGTAAGTTCCACTGGCAGATTTCTGCTCTAGAGCAGCTCCGCATTTTACGAAGCGTAAGCCCATCTTCTATGTCTGTTGTATTCAATATTTTGAAAAGTAGTCTAGGCCTCTTTTCCGGAAGACGCCAAATCATTTTTAGTAGCTTGTGATTCATCTTACTGCGCGCTGGTTTTTCGGGACAAACATCGCGCTAGCCTTGTGCACGTTCTGGACAATGGTCATATATAGCGCTTACAATGAATCTGACCACAGTTCAACTTGATCAACAAAGCTGCACATTCCTGAGAAGTGTGCTAGGCAGAAGTTCCTAATCAACGTCTGAGGTGCGGGATTTCCGACACAGTGGCCGGTCAAATCAAAGATGGGCACACATTGGTCGCTATGTCCTAGTAAGGCAGCTGATCAAATAATTGTCATGATCAGAGAAGTGTCCTTCTCTGGTGACGACCACATCCGGGGGAGACAGTAGTTGGTTTGTGCGGTATCTGTTGGGCGTGACGGCACTTTGTTTCCAAGTGTTCAGCTGAATGACCTTTGTCAGTGCCGCTGCAAAGGGTTCACCAAACCCGACAAACTGGAACTCTATTTAGGGGGCTTGTGTGTTTTAAACTTACCTACTAGCATAATATGTGAAGTGGCGGCTGGAGGAGAGTTGCGCAAAGGTTTCTGCCAGGAATTGGCCATCTCCCGGAGGGCAGGAGGGTCACGGTAGACCACGGCGAGAAGATAAATGGTTCCGCACAAGATAATTCGAATCCAGATTGCGTCGCGAATAGATGCGGGAGTGGCATAGAGGAGGGCAATCTGGATGGGCAGGGCCGCATGTTATTATAGGGCAACCCCACCAGCGCTCCAGCAGTCTGAATCAGCTCAAGAAATGTTAGCCATTTATCGAGATTTCCGCGACAGGGAAATCTGGTGTGAGCCCGGTTTCTCTGTGTGCGATGGTGTGTTCCAGTGTTCAAGACAAACTGACTGTTTTATATTGTGAAGTTGGTTGAAAAGACTGCGGCCGTTTGTAGAGAATCAGTTCACCTCCATCTGCTGCTTCCGAAAGAGAGGAACACAGGGGTGTACGACCAGAGATGTTAGCAGATTTAATAGCCGTACTCCGTGCTTGAGGCCACGGCTCTTAAGGCTTACTTTTGCGCATTCTGTCTTAGTGATTCTAAGAGCTACGTTTTACTTGCAGGGCTTTTCCACCCCGTAGAAGTCCGGTTTTCGGGGGCTTTTTACGTTTGGGTGACGTAGCTTTTCCCTCGTGACGAAAATTTAGGCTGCCGCTGCTTGTAACTCGTTCAATGCCGTCTTTTGAAGACTACGTTTGGTGCGGTTTAATAGAAAAAATGTCTCTGTGAGGCCATTGCTGTTGGGTGGCGGAAGTATTCCTTCTGGCGGCGCTCCCGTGGGGCTCGCTTTCGCAGAGGACTGCATCTTGTAGCTAGCCAGCAGCCTTCTGATTTTGTGAAGTTCATGGGGCTTGTTTGACTGCAGTCGCTTTTCTTTCGTATTTGTGCAGACTCGTGAGTCGCAAGCGATCAGCTTGGCCAACTGGGCACACGAAGGATTTTCCGGTTCATCGTTGTCGGGTTTCCGGAGTTGGCTGTCTGGGTCATGGGTGACAACTATGCTTACAATTGGAGAATTCAATTTTGATGGAATCCAGCTAGAGACCAGCAGTTTCACCTTCTTAGTGGTTGTAGGGTTCTCACAGCACTATTCTTTTTAGATATAAACGCTTTTGGCCGCTTTCTCGGTATGACCTACCGTTTGTCTCCGCACATCTGACCCTATTTAGCTCAGAAATTGTGACTAGAGTGTGGAGTTTACTGTTGCGATATTCTCGTCTGCCGAGGAGATAAGCTGGGGGGTCTGCGTACTTTGAGTGCTGCGGCAACGTGAAGCACTCCCCCTTCCGTGAATCGCTGCCTTCGATGGTCGAAAGGTCTACGGTGGTCGACCAGAAACTTCAGTCCGGAGTCGCGGCCGGTTGCTTCGGCTTGCTTTCACATGATCAGTGGGCCATAACTTTCACCTGTTTGGCCAGTTTGAAGGTACTACTGGTAGTATCCGAGCCTGAAGGGTTTGACTTCTTCTTCAATCACATCGCTGTTGTGCATATTCAGCGTACGGTACCTAATAACTTTCGTTTGGCCAGTTTGAAGGTACTACTGATAGTATCCGAGTCTGAAGGGTTTGACTTCTTCCTCAATCACACGACTGTTGTGCATATTCAGCGTACGGTACCTAGGACGTCCAGTGGACCGGTTCAACCAATCAGAAGTCCAGGATTTTCGCTCCCCTTGATCCCGTCCGTTGCTGGCTTCACGGGCATCAACATGTTGAGCACCCATGCAGGATGTTTCCGCTCCCGGGTGAATGGGCTCGTTAAAGTATCACGGAGGTTTTTAAACCTGCAGGAGTATCAGTGCAAAAAGCTGATGTCAGACTATGACGTTAACGTTCAACGCTTCATGATGGTCCGGAAACCTAGTGATATCGAGAACATCCGTAAGAACTTCCATGTAAGCACACTTCTGTTATTCAGAAAAATTGCTAGGTTCGAGAGTTCGTCATCAAGGCTCAAATATTAGCTGGCGGTCGAGGCAAGGGTGTTTTCGTTGATGGATTCAAGGGCGGGGTTCACCTCACCAAAGACCCCGATGTGATGGCAGATATTTCCAAAAAGATGCTTGGTAACTATCTGAAAACCAAACAAACTCCAGAAAATGGTGTACTAGTGAACAACGTGAGTTTAGCACGCCCCATTCATTTTTCATTACATCCCCTGGTCTGAGATCTCTCCCTAGGCGGCACCATAGGACTACTAAATTCCTTAAATTCTGTACAAAAACAATTTTCGGGGCGTTCTGTAACTGTCGGACGGTAGGTTCATTTGCCACTTTTCTAGAGTGTTGTGCAACAGCCAGCATGCTGCGATAACACATCGGGTTCCACTGGGGCTACCTATGCCGCTTCCACGCTCCCAGCCAGATTTATCAACTGATGGTGGTCTAAAAATAGTGTTCTAGTCCTTCAGTTTAGAGCTTTAAACAGGAATGGTAGTTTGCCCATCGGAATTTCGATTGGCATCCTCTTACGTCTCGGCACTGTGGCCAGGTTTTCGGATGGGTCTCATAGTCAACCTGTCTGGGTTTCGTCCCCATGACACGGAAGTGCATCCATGCCGCATAGGCCGTCCGGATCGCCCCATTTTTTGCATGCAGCAGAGCGCACAGCAATTTTCGACGTCTTTATTGTTATCTAACACTCCTTGTCACCCTAATTAATCCTTACCCAGCTTCCAGCTTTAGGGATGCCAACCGTGCGTTAAGAAGTCCTCATGCCCACTTTGCGTCTGCTCTTCTGATCTCCACACCTCTAGCCATGTTGTGTGGGATGTAGATCCAGAACCATTGGGCTTACATTCGTAAATGCGCCGGCCTCATTCCTTTTTCGTCCCTCCGCTGGTTGTCGTAGTAGTTGCTTGTTCTTGTGGTACTACGGATTCCATGCTTGCACGACCCACTCAAGATGTGGTCGTACGGAAGTTGACAGAATCATCCAGAACGTCGCCCTATTAGGGGGCAAAGAGGTTGCGAAGTAGTAGTTGTGTAATCCTGGAAGCGTGCGTAAAGTTGTTCGAATATCCAAGGTCATTACGGATACTGACTGTTAGGCGTTTCACCCTTAAAGCCCTATGGAACACGACATATTGGAGTATTCACCATGCCAGATGAATAGCACACGACAACTGTATTCGTTGAATTGGAGAGTTTTTAGAGCCATGTGTCCTCTCCCTATCGGACTGAAGCAGGGCAAAGTCTTGTTTGTATTGGTTGACATATCTTGTCGTTCGCAAACATCAGGATGGCTGATCCGTTGAACAGCGACTGGATCCAGTCGCAGTTTGTATACTTCTTTGACCCGCTGAGCTGTACTTCGGGGTTTCACTTTGACATCCACAAACTTTATCATATCAGACTGGCCGGTGGATAGAGGTCTAACAAGCACAGTCTCCTGGTCTTTTGGGTCGTCATGACGACTTGTTCCTTAAAGAAATCATACTACTCTGATAGTACGCCGACAACCACCTGCTGCCTTGCAGTCAGGCTTTTGAACCAAAGGCTTTCGTTGGGGGCCTTAATCGTCTTCCTGTTTAGCAGTATTCCAGCCCACACAACCATGAATATGAACAAAAAATGATTATTCAAAAAGGTACTCAAGGTACCCCTAAGAACCGTAGGTGTATGAGACTTACATGGATGTTAGCCCAACTGCTACTGTGACGCCCAATCTCGGCACGCGAGTCACGTATCTGAGAGAATCAATCGGGACCTCGTTCAGGAAGATGGTATACTGATCACATCTTTGCATTACACCAAGCAGTTAAGCGGTTTCGCTCGACTTCAAAAATAGAGTTACTTCGAATTTTCCCAAATATAATTCACACATTTTCTGGTCACATTTCCGATCGTGTATTGGCTTACAATAGACCGTCAAAACATTAACCATAGCCTGAGCTCATCAGTTCCACATTGTTTGTTAAATTTTATCATCGGCATAGTGGAATGTACACTTCAAATGACTGTAATCGCGCCGTTAAAATAAAACTCAGAAAATAGCTACTGAGCTTGGCCACGCAGACGATCGTCGGTCCACGCAGTTTGCTCTGTTCAGATGTTAAAGTGGTCTCCTGTTGTGGTATACGTCCTAGACCTTGAAAATACGAAGTCTTCAGGATTCTTGGCTATTCTTGCATGCATGCTCTTAATGTGGTCGGTGACTTCAATATTTACACCTCGTCAGGGGACGAGCAGCATCTGAGAACCTATCTTATTTACGTCATAAAGGCTGGAGCCAAGGGGTCATGTGTATAGAGCAGCTGTAAGAGCAATCTTCCTTTGTGTTTCCAGAACTTAGTTTTTTTCAGCTGTAACGCTGTGCCTAGCTGCAATGCCGCGCGAAGGAACCACGAGGGCTGAAGTAGCGCCAAGTTTTTCAAGCCTACATAGGGTTAGTTGAGACGCAGAATTTGTATTCGAACCACGAACCTCCCGGTCAATAAGCGTGCGCCTTAACCGCTAAACTGTATCTAGTTCTCCTCCCTCAATCCTGGAACCCAAAACCTCTTCAAACGTTTGGTCGCATTGGTTTCGTAGCATAGCAGGTTTTTGCTGATTGCAGCTAATTGGCAACAAAATGGTGGGCAAGCAAATACCAGGTAACAAGTCTGGATTTTCGGATCATAAAGCTGACCGGATTGTGGTGTCCGGGACAGGTAACACTTAGGTTCATTCACAACCTACGGAAGGAAGCAGTGCTTCCCATTCAATCATTTTGCTGAGAGGTTCACAGTGAACAGGCTATCGCCGCACTCCCTAGCTTAAGTTTTTTTCGCTGTATGGTGAGCTCCCGTTTCTTGTCGCTTCAGTGCCACCGCTTCGCGATGCAGTGTGCCCTTTTCCAGCAAATTCTACCATGCGCTTGCCTGTTCACAACAGTCCATTACGTGATTCTACCTTCACGTGGCTGGAAACCTTAACCGGAATAGTGCAGGTCCCATCTCAGTAGTTGTGTAGGTCATGGTTGTACGAAAGCTGGGATACTGCCAGAGCGCGCACACCTAGACAGGAGGACGATTAGGGTCCTCAACCAAAGCCTTTGGCTCAAAAGCCTAACCGCAAGGCAGCGGTGTTTGGAGGGGAAATGCAAATGCATTACCTTTTCTACGGAACAAGTCGCCATACATGTTCCAACCCCCAACCTGGAGGGCCAGGAGACTGTGTTTGTCAGACCTCTAACCATTGACCAACCTGGTATGAGATACTCTGCGAGTGTCGCGCGGACAACCCCCAGTATAGCTCAATGGGTCTCCGAGGTGCACAAACCGCCACACCACGGTAAGATCCAGTCTCTTCGTGACAGCCCATCTCAGTAGATAGAATGTCATTACATTTCCGCTAGATCCTTACTTCAAGCTCATCCGTCTTGAATTCTAGTTGTATTAGTTAAGGTTCCCACGAAAACATGGTTCTCCGAGGTGCACAAACCGCCACACCACGGTAAGATCCAGTCTCTTCGTGACGGCCCATCTCAGTAGATAGAATGTCATTACATTTCCGCTAGATCCTTACTTCAAGCTCATCCGTCTTGAATTCTAGTTGTATTAGTTAAGGTTCCCACGAAAACCGACCGATTCTGCTAATACCGTTTCACTCTGACAAGAAGTTCAGATGTGTTTACTTAGGCTTAATGTACTTCGTGTCAGCGCGACTGTATACTGCTGCTACACACTGACGATTCTCGGCGGCACATGGTTAGCCCCTTCCTCTCTCAGTTCTGAGCTCTTTAGATGACTCTGCAGCGTGGTATTCGGCATCAGTCCTAATTGTGGGTATCCGGATTTCCTACAGAAGGAGATCGTGACTGAGTTTGACCGGTTCATTAGTACACTCATTTGTAAAACTCATTTGCAAATTAGTTTCGGTACTGGTACACAATGCGGTGTTCGAGAAGAACAAGGTTGGTATAAAAGCGGGGCGAGATGACTCAGTGGTTAAAGCGCGAATTTACTGACAGGAAGGTCCGTGGTTCAAACCCGCACTCTGCCTCTCGACTTCCTTTATCTAGGCTTGGGCAACCTGGCAATAGCCCAGCCCTTGTGCTTCCTTCTGGTGGCATGGCGGTTGGGCGCCAAAAGGGTGCTACAGCTGGACGATTATCAGCTATAGACCGTGTACCCCAACGCACATTGGTTGCAGCCGCTGCAGTTTCTATCAGTGGAAGTGGGAGTGTGTGGGGTATACAGCCAAGCATTGGAGGTAGTGACATGTTCAGTTAGTTCAGTAACCGGTTAGCCATTCATTGAAGGCGAAGGTGCTCACTGATGATGCCTCTGCATATGCTGACGAGACGTTTTCAAGTCGACTGCCAAGCTGGGCAACCAATAAGCTCATCCGAGCTACCAATGTAACGGTGAATACTACTGATGGGGCATACGAGTAGTATGTTTTCCCGTAAATCCGCTTCGCGTCTCTTGAAAAGTGAGATCTGTTACTGAATTTGTGGAGTCGCTTTGTAGCATTTGCTTGCGTTCGAGTAACAGTCAATAGAAATCCGGGAAAGTTCAGGAAGACGCGTTCAAGGAGAGCATGGATATTCAGTTTTTGTAAACAAGATGCATATGAGAGTTTCGCTTCTCTGTCCAATAGTGTGTAACTGTTCAGTTGGTGTTTTCTAATAAACAACTCTGCAGTGAAATCCTTCTTCCTTTCACCAGTATTTAGACACATCTCTCTGTCAGATCAAAGGTTGACCACCTTTCTGTATTAGCTACGGAAACAATGACTCGCCATGTGTATTATGTGACCTGAACAGTGCAGCTTCTTGTGTTGGACACATTCCACGGTTAAATTCACGTTGCGCAACCGTACACCCGCTTCCTGAATACCTCGTCACAGATTCGCCGACTCCAATTTACATAAGCTATGGTGCTGGGACAACAGTGGTCGAAGATCTGATGGCGTCCCAAACATCACGTACTTTGTTCCTTATTTTAACTGTTATCCTGTGTTATACAAACAACTGAAAATAGTCTCTTGCATCATCGAAGTTCATCTACAGGTTTAGCGTGGAACCATACTGCCTTCTGTTTTGTCAAATTAGAGTTGTGTCAGCTTTCAGAAGTACTATAGCCTCTAGAGAGAGAGAGGGTAGCACTGCGTCTCCGTTATCCGCCGGATGGTGCTTTTAACAGACTCAAGTGGATGTGCACACCAGCGCACTGGTCCACATGTTCGGTTTGCAAAACAAATGTTTGACTCAGACCTACTCTGTGTCACATTATTTACTGGTTCGTCTGCATTGCGGTCACGAATACATATGAGCATTTATCGGAGTGAACAAAGCAGTGTATCACACGAGTCAGAGCTAATATCAACTTCGAATGTGTCTATTACAAGACGTCTGACTGAGATGGGTCACAGGTTGTGCCCGTGTAGCTCACTTGTCATTCTACTACTTGATACAAACACGGTTTATCTGGTTATTAGTGGTACTCTACTAATCAAAAGTTCTTGGTTCATTTTATGCGTTCTAGAGATTTCACGTGGCGATATCATTTTACCGTGGTAATAACCAAGTGACCGTTTCATTGATTATTTGGTTTTAACCTGGAAATCTTCCCTCGCCCGATGAGTTGTTGCTGCTACGTTTGACTTCGCTTCGTTTAACAGATTGTAGCAGTGGTTGGGGAGACTGTTCGGAATGCCAGGATTTGGCTGTATGTCTACTGGCTGTTTGAACTAACTACATCGTGCTCACCGTTGAGACTGGTGGCTACTTCGTGTTGATATTATGAGTAAAATTTACTGTCATCATCGCCATCACTCGCAGCAGCACTGGAGGGGAGCACCGGTGCCTCACTGCCACACAACCGTGTTTGTTAATTTGAATAATGCCTCATAATGGAAAGAGCACGAGATGGCTTAGTAGCTAAGGCGCGGACCGGAAGGTCGGTGCTTCGAACCCCACCGCTGGATCTCGACTGCTCCCGTCTAGGATTGGGCAACCTGTCAGTATCTCGACCCTCGTGTTTCCTTCGCCTGGCGTAGCAGCTCAGCTCCGAAAGGGTACCAAAGCTGGATCGTTTTAATGGAAATACAAAGTGGGACATGGTGTAGAACCTAGCGCTAGCCTACCGCAAACATCCAACGGCATGAGACACACCGACGTCGATTAGCCGCCATCTCGTCTAGTGTCTGGAGCTAAGGCTTACTCGGACTCCATTCGGGAAGGTGAACAACACCAGCAGTGCCCAAACTTTTCGTAGCTTTCTTCATTCCCTTCTGCGATGTCGAATTCTGTCCAATAGGTTCTCGCCACACAAAGTAGGCACGAAAAGCAACGCTGTTCTCATCATGGGTGACAGACAACCGGACCACCCTAACTCACAGTCGTAGGTGTATTCTTTCAATAGGTTCTCGCCACACAAAGTAGGCACTTAAAGCAATGCTGTACTCATCATGGGTAACAGACAACCAGACCACCCTAACTCACAATCGTAGATGTATTCTTTAAGTGAAGTACCTCTTGCTCCCTTGTCATCTCACTGCGGATTCACTTGTTCCAGCCGCTGATGGTCATATTTCTGAGGCACCAGGCTTCCAGTGTTTGAAGCTGCCTTGGCTCCTCGCTCAAAGTGTCCAAGGCTCGCAGCCGTACAAGACAGGACACACTGTAGACGTCCTTTGAGCCTTAGCGGTAGGCATTTTTGATGCCGCAAGTAACGCCAACTGGCAAACGCAGTTATAGTCTTTGACATTCGTGCGTTCATCTCGTCTGTCACACTGCTTCCAAAGGGCTCTTAGAGCCAATGAACACCAAGGTTTTAAGGCGTCTGTATGCATGCGGTTGCGAAACCACGAGTTACACAATGGCAACCGGGAAATTTAACGTCGGGCGAGAGAATTCCAATATATCCATCTGTTGTGTTCCACAAACCCGTAGTGGGTCACCATTCCAGAGCCGACCGCTGCTACGTAGCAGTCGTCAGCCATACTTTATAATTCCACGACTTCGTATTTATCTGATCCTCCGTAAGGATCTTGGAAATTAAAAACAATCATTTGACTGTCCACAATCCTGTGATAGACCAGTGGTCAAGACACGAAACTACTGACCGGTGTAACCTTGGTTCAAGGCTAACCTTGTCTCCTTTTACACCTCTTTAGACTAAGGCAACCTGGTAGAATCTCAGCTCCCCGAGTCACACTGCAGTATGCACTGGAACGGTGTCATAGCATAACCGGTAGTAAATATTCACGCATAGTCAGATTTTTAACGAAAGGGATGCAGCAACCTGCGTCAAGCCCTTGTAGTTCATAGGCTTTTCACTCTGAACCTTCTTTAACGGCACTTACTATTTGCCCGCAGCATCCGAAAGTCATATGAAACGTAAACTAATCGCTCAGCTGTAACACCCTTCCAGTGCCTAGCTGCCATGCTACCCGAAGGAAGCACGAGGGCTGCGATACTGCCAGGCTGCCCAAGTTTAGACAGGGGAAGTCGAGAGGCGGTGGTCGGATTCAAACCACCATATATTTACTTCCCATCTTGTCCCTGATTTTCTTGTCAGCGAACTTGTCAGTTACCTCAATTCTCTATCTTGTTTCCACATATATGCTCCGTAGACTATCTCCCCGTGTCTGAGGTGGGCCTGGAGGCCCCGTTTATTTCGCATACGGTCTTATATTATTGCAGCTTTTACTGGTCAATCCTGTGTGCTACTTCACTATAGGTCATGGTGGCTGAAGCGCTGGATATTGAACGAGAGACCTACCTAGCAATTCTAATGGATCGTGAAGCGGGACGTCCTATCATAGTTGCCAGTAAACAAGGCGGTATGGAGATTGAACAACTGGCCGAAGAATGTCCGGAAGCGATCATGCGTGAGCCGATCGATGTGGTCAACGGAGTGACAGGTTTGCTCACTGTTTATCGATTTTCTTTCTTTTGAGCACAATCTACAATGCGCTATAGTTGTTCAGGCCTTGTCCCCGTCTTGTTTTGAATTTCGGAACAGCCCTTAAGCTTATGAATAGTTTTAATCTGCTGTGACAGATTTCCAAAGTTGAATTTTCTGCGATATATGGGAGATAGTTACATCAGGACTGCTGTTCTACACTCACAGATTTTCATGCAGGTTGTTCGGATTTATTACCGGTCTTTCTTGGACTACACTCAGGTCTTGTTGCTTTGAGTTTAGATGTTTCCGGATTACGGGGCTTCCGGTAAACATTCGCCTTGTATACTTGCGAATTTTTTCATGCGTACGACGACTGATACGTGTTTCTTATAATCGTCCTTAATTTACTGTGCTGACGCTGCAGAACACACGGTCCACCAGGCCAAGTATTAGTACGTTGAGCTCGAGGAAGCCCAGTGGCTAACGCGTGAACTTACCAGCCGGTAGGTCCGTGGTTCGAATCCAACCCAGGCATCTCGACCTGGTAGTATCTCAGTCCTCGTACTTCCTTCGGATAGCATGGTAGCTGGCACCTAAAGAGTGCATGGTGAATTTTTGGCGTGGAGGAGTGTATTATTCAGAATTAGAGATAGCTGAAACAGATGGTTAACAGTAATCTCAAGACCCCGTAGAGGAAAACTCTCAATATGGGACAGAGTTTCCATTTAGCCCTAGTTGTCCATGAGCCGTCCTTTTTCCCGCTGGTTTGAACAATTTGACTATACAGTACCGTGCGTTGTCATCCGTGGACAAGTCCCAGACTACAAAGCCCGGAGTACCCATCTGTCCGCACCACCTAGACTTGTTTATGGGCCTTGGAAAATATCGCTCGTATCCGAGGGCCGGGCGGTTTTTCTCTATGTCAGTCTGATTTGTTCCTCTTGTGCTTTGTTCCAAGAATGGCTGCTTCAGCTACGTCATATTTTCCTAAGGACCTAACTCGTGCTTAGTCGTCTCCCCAGTCGCTCCTCAGACGGCCCCTAATCTTTGTGGATGTGTGTGGATTTAAGTAAAAGCCGTGGAAACCTTCATCTAATCGAGTGGTGTGAAGAACAAGCCATTGGGAAAATCCTTAATGCAGGGGAGTTTTTACGCCCGCTTGATTCGCAAATGAACGGTGGATCCAACACTTGTCTAAATTTGTGTTCAAATGAGGAATGAGCTTGGTCGTAATGCGCGAATTATACCTACCTGGATCGAACCTAGTAGTGCCTAGCTAACAGAATCCAGGATATACCTGGGGAGAGATGGTTAGAGTGCGGATTTACTGACCGAAATGTCCGTGGTTCGAACCCGACCTGTGTATCTTGACTTCTCCTGTCTAGGCTTGGGCAACCTGGCAGTATCTCATCCCTCATGCTTCCTTCGGGTGTCATGGCAGTTAGGCACCGAACGGGTGTTACAGCTGAACGATTATCTTTATGTGGTGCGTTTGCGGCATTTGGAGGACTTTTGTCGACTAATCAGACTGCATCAGCTCAGCTTCTTACGGATTACCTGAGGAAGATATGACGTGGATCTACGTGGGTTGGATCAACCCACTGCAGAATTGATCAGCGCTTTCCGGTGCATAAGAATGGTGGCACCGAATTCGCTTCGGCGAATCAGGTTACAATTTGAATAAGGAAGATGGAGTTCACAAAGACTGTAGCGTGAAGCTACCGAGTTTGAATAAATGGCTTTCTTGAAAGCCTTGGCTAATCAAGATTACCAAGTCCTTAAAGAGAAGTCGTACTGCAGGACAATTTTGATTGTGAACGTTCGTCACTCAATGAGTTGGCAATTAAGTTGAACGACATGGTGCAGCTTGATATTCCCCTTCATTTCGCACCAAGACATTATTACGTGTCCGTCTGGGACTGTATTCACAGAAGTCTCGCTTGTGAAACGTTGGATGGAGGTTTGTTGCAATTCCAAAGCACCGTAACCTAGGCTGGACCCAAACACGTGCAGGTTTCCCCATCGACCCAACACTTGTTCAACCAATCTAACACAAAAATCCCTCGGCCGACACCCAACAGAGATTTGGCTTGACTTAGCTGATTGGTTCTCCTTCCGCCTTAAATCTCGACCAACCTCGTCACTTGGCCTGACGAAGCTTTTGTATCAAAAGCGAAACGTTGCCCAGCAATAAATCTACCGATTATCACCAAACTTTTTTCGAAAACACCGTAACCTTGTTTTTTTTGCCGTAATACACTTCGCTCAAGTACCTTGATCGCGTGCGCACCCACCCTGGGTGCGGTTGTATAAGAGACCAACACATTGGCGCAAGTGCTCCCCATCCTCGATTTGAGTATTCTGTCAAACTAGCTACGACTAGAGCACATCATCCTGGCTGTTATCCTTCCGATGCTATTTTCCGGCTCTAAAGTAATTTTGTTGCATTTTGATTATCGTCCCAGCTGGCGAAGTTCATGTGATTTTCATTTAGTTTTCATAGGTACCGTGGTCAGTTTATCAGCCACAAATCATGTGCCACTTTGGTTGCAGGTGCAACAGTTTCGAATACGGACAAATGGGGTAGTGAGGGAGATGTAGCAAGTAGTGTAGGTGATGGCATAATCAATTAGTTCGTACTAATTCAGTCCAGTCATTTGAAAGAACGATAAGTTAGGAGTCTACGCGAGAGTTCGCCTTAATACACGAGCACTACTGGCTGCGTGATTGACCGATTTCTGCCAGGACCATCAGCTATCGATGAGGTGAATCCTGGGGTCAGCATCCAGGAAGGTGGCCCTTGTCGACCAGACTGAGTTCATTCTGTAATGTTTTCATACTTCGTTACCAGGTCGTAGACTGTCCACTGAGATATGGTTGAACAAAATGGCTCTGCACCGTTGTCTTTCAGCTTTGGTCACACTGATCATCTGTGATGATTAGTACTCGAACAGATGGTGGTTAGTTTTTTCCGTTTTTCAACTCACACATTTATTGCATGTATGACCGGACCAGACGTTACCCCAACCGTATGCGCTTGCCTCCTTCGTTTCCACTTCTAAGCTGGGAATGCATTATACTCACCTGCAGCTTGTTTCCACTGTACATAGTCAATTAGAAAGTGCTCTTTCAGTCATTACCCACCCCAGGTTTAGACCATGCGTTTCACGGACGTTAGTTAGTGTCATGTTTCTCATCATCTTTACCAACCACACCGATGTGGAATGCCGGTGTCACTCACTGTCGTACAAATTCAAGTACATTGCCACGGACCGCGTTGGTATCACGATGACCATCATACATGGTTTGAACCACTCATCAGTTTAGCGCAGAGAAAAGAAGACCGGACCTTCAGAGAAGGACTTTCATTGCCTCATCCAAAGACGAATTACGGTGGGAACACTGTCGAATATATATACTTTGAGCAACCAATAAATTCGTTAGCACACACAAAGTCCAACTAACCAATAGGAAAGAAACGCGGTCTTTCTGGATTGAAGCGCAACATGGCGGAAAAGGCGCGAAATTTAAAAGTTCAAATTTTCAGAAAATAAGATTGGCAATGACTTGGAAATTTGGCTCGGAAATTAAACGGTTTTTGGGGATACTGATATCCCCAACAAGTACAATGTGTGATGGGTAGCCCAGCTCCAAACACTGGTACCGGCCCCTGGAGCATCACCGACCGTCCTATCGCCATCGTGCCACAGATCAAATTCATAATTTCATGGTCCGGTCTACTTTTTTATTGGGACCCTATTTTGCTTATATATAGCGTGGGGCGAGATGGACCAAGTGGTTAGAGCGTGAATTTAGTGACCGGAAGGACCGTGGTTCAAACCCAACCTCTGCGTCTCGACTTCCCCTGTCTAGGCTTAAGCCATCCAAGCACTCGTGCTTCCTTCCGGTAACATGGCAGTTAAGTATCGAAACGATTTTTAACAAATGCTCCAGAAAGGTGAACAAGATGGACCAAGTGGCCAGAGCACGAATTCACTGACCGGAACTTGCGTGGTTCAAGCCCAACCTCTGCCTCTCGACTTCCCCTGTCTAGGCTTGGGCAACCCGGCGGTATCCCACCCCTTATACTTCCTTGTGGTGGCATGGCAGCTAGGTAGCGAAAGGGTGCTACAGCCTAACGATTTGTGCATATTATGTATTGTATATAACTATATGTATTTATTATATAGTATTAATAAAGATTCTAACCTATTCTATGATCCTATGATGATATGGGTATTATTACTCTACAATATATTATATGTCGTATTACCCAATATTGTGTTGTGTTGTATTAATTTTATGCATTAAATTATAGTATATGTATTATTATACTGCGTTTTATAATACATCGCTTCATTTCATTTCGCATAGTATACATTGTTATGCTGTCATATTACAGTGTATTATATTACACCATAGCATATAGTATATTGTGCTATTGTATTTTGTTCTACACGCATATGCAGGCAGACAGCTCACTTTAATGTCTTGGAGTGTTAGGCCTACATCAGTGTTAGAACTGATTTCCTGTAACCACTGTTTCAAGGAACAAACTGATGATTGGTTATCCTAGCTTGCCGAATGTGTGTGGCCAGGGTTGCGTCTTGTGAGTGGTGGGTTTCACCTATTTGATTGTCACTTCCTCACTTGACAAGTGCCTACTATCAGTTGAGCACACTGAGTGCGTTAGGACTGTCCTCATCTGTTCATCCTCTGGTTGCTCAGCTTGTACCTGCAGCTCAGTGGTGTGTATCACCTGTTGTGCGTGGGGAGTAGATTTTTCTGACGGGCATCTTCGGAATCAGATGCTTGACCACCACTTAGCCCTAATTTGATCACCCATGTTTTTCAACTGCTGGGTTCAGGAGACTTAGCCGTTTCTCGTAGGCTCACCATAGTAGTCGCGGATCCTATGGGTTTGCATTGATAGCGATTTCCACGTTGAATAAAATGACTCAGTTCTCTTTTTCGGCTGGTTTGACCGAAGGAAACTGGCCATCGTTTTAGGTATCGAGAATTCCATCAAGCATCCCATAACCAGTTCACCTTGTCAAATGGACTGTTAACTACAACGAACACTTCGGTTTGATGTACACAGACTGTCGTTATGTTTTAACTGAAAGGCAGGTTCCTGTTGTTCGATTAGAATGACGTTTCAACGTAAACGGTTGCGTAATTTTACAGGCTTAATGTCGTCCCCACGTTTAATCCATTTTTTCTCATTCCTGTTGTTTGCAACTGGCGGACCCACCAGCGATACAGTCACGTGACTAATCATCTGTGACTAGGAACATGCAGCGCACGACCGTTTAATCGAAACCGGTTATGTGGGTTCGCGGAGCCGTTCAACTGCGGTTCGCAGGGATATTCTAGATCATTAGCACCACTTCGAAATTGACCATATGATCACATTTAAGCTGATGTCGTCTGTGCACCACAGCCCATTTTTATCACCGTTACCATTATCGATTGGTTTTGCCTGTGTCAAGACAGCGTTTCAACTCTCCTGTTTGCCTTGCGTTGAAACCAACGTGCCACAGCTAAGCGGTTTGATTTTAGCTTGATTTTCTGCACATCGCTTCTCTAGTGACTTTATTCAACAGCTTGAGTTCATCGTAGTTGCGGGATTGATTATCCGCTGGCTAGTTTTTACTGATTTTTACATATCTGGTAGAGTACAGTACCGCCTCTTCTAGGGATATCTTCACGTGACCGGAGGGTAATCGAACTTCTAGCCGAGGAGCTACTTTATGTAAGTACCAGGCCGCTCAAGACACCAAGGCTCAGTCATCTTGATCGATTCTCTTGAGGTGTTTATCTTCAATATGCCCTTCGTCAGAGCATTGTCGACTATTTTCCAGGTGATCTTTATTCACCCACCCTTGTTGAGATGGGCACCCGAAGCTTGCCCCACTTGCCTGTTGGCGCACTTGCGCCACCACCGCGTCATCTCATTGCATGTCAGTCTGTTATCTTCTCTTCATTCCGCATGTCCCTCCGCATTCACGCCTCAGTCATTTCACAGTTTGTCTTTATTATCGTTTATCATATTCTTTTCCGTCTCCCTCTCACAGAAGAACAAGCAGAAAAGACCGCCATATTCCTCGGTTTCCAACCAGGCTCCAAACAAATGAAGGAGGCCACAAAACAAATCCAAAGATTGTATAAAATGTTCACTTCACTGGATTGTTTACAGGTTTGTCTTTGTTTCTATCTTGTGTGTGTGTGTGTGTGTGTGGTTTCCTGGAGAAACTGTCTGGCGTTCGGGAACTACTGGTAACGCTTTGTTTTTACGCCACTGTAGGACTTTATTACATTCTATTCTGATTTACCCGATCGTTGTATCATTCAACCATTCTACATCTTGAAGCCCCGTCTGCCGAGGTGGGGTAATCAAAATGCCAGTTTCGGTAGCGTTTCTTAACTTGTCAGCAGAAGTGAAACATGTAACACAGCGATGGAAATGTGAGAAAGTGCGCATGAGGATCAGAACTTCATGTATTCCGGTACTCTTTTCAACCCTAGCTCTAACAAGTCCACACAGAGATTCGACTGTGTATGTTGTAATTCTGAGTTTCACCAGTGATGATGTGGCCTCGTTTCCCAACCTTTTCACCAGTGATGATGTGGCCTCGTTTCCCGAATCTCCCAACCTTTCTCGTCACTTGTCAGATTGAAGTTAATCCATTCGGTGAAACTCCGGACGGCCAAGTAGTCTGTTTCGACGCGAAGCTGAGCTTCGATCCGAACGCAGTTTTTCGTCAGCCCGAAGTGTGTCAAATGGCAGCCGAGGTTGAAGAAGTGGAGGTTGCTGCAGCCGGACCTCACAGCACCGTTGCGCTCGAGGCGGACGCAGCTCGACATGGGCTAACCTACATCGGTCTGCCCAAGGGGAACATTGGTTGCATCGTGAATGGAGCCGGATTGGCTATGGCCACGATGGACTTGATCTATCATCACGGCGGCCATCCAGCCAACTTCCTCGATCTGGGTGGTGGTGTCTCGGTCACTCAGGTTGAACATGCCTTCAAACTGCTTACAAGTAAGTGTGTGTGTGTGTGTGTGACCACGCGGGGCATTGTTTTGCGAAAAACTCTGCATTTTATGACAGAATCTCGGCTAGTAGTTTGACCAGTTAACCGTTCGATCACGAGCGGCTGATGAGCAGTGCGCTCGTAGAATTGTGATCCACGCTGTGACATGCGCTTGTGGCTCGAATTGCCAGAATCATTGCCCTTCTCTCTCTCTCTCTTGATGATCCATCGATCTTGAGAATAGCTGAGATTCGCCATCGAAGTGTGTCAGGCTAGTTCTGCTTCTAATAATGTGCCATGACATAAACCACACGGTTAAATTAACACTACTCTAACACGGATCGTCGAATCCATGTTTTTGTCTTTTCCTCGCACAAAATGTCACCACCAACACGCCGGATTGCATTTGCACTAGCCAAGCCACATGACAAGCTTGTCAAATGGGCCTTCATTCGCCGTCGACCGAAACCACAAGGATTTAGTGGTGACAGGTGAAACTCGGCATCAACCTGCTGAAGCATAATCACGCAGCAACAAGACCCTCTGAATCACTCGGCGTGTGGCGTTATCAAGCGACCACAGATGTCGAAGTTGTAACGGTTTAATGGGGGATGCAGCCGAAAGGCTGTCTGTTTAGGCCCGTAGGTGGCGAAAACTGAGGATGCCGTTTTAGCGACTAACGGTTCCGTGTCCGTTGATGCATCAGTGAATCCTTTCAAATCCGTTGACAATTTCACTCTGTATTCACATGGTTTTGGTGATCCAACGATCCTTCTCCTGTAGTAGTGCGGTCATTCGTGTTGCTTCTCGAAAGAGGGCAGTGCGGATCCCGAGTGTCTCGTCAACAGTGCAGGTCCCTTGTTCCTACCCCCCCTCCCTAAGTCGAGTGGATAAACCTCGGATGATCACACACTCCACCTTTGTCCCCAACTCAATGGTCTCGGTATCCAAACAAAGTTACTCCACGAACGGTTGAAACCTTCTGAACACTTTCGTACTTTTGAATACTGCGTGGTTCATTGAATTTATATCCAGAATCCTAACGTACTCTAACCGATAACGTGTAGCACGTGAACTCGCCTTTAAGCAGCCACTTTGTCAGCAGCGACATTTTTCATCGACTTGTGTCACTATCACAGGAATTCTGTAGTGCTGAAGAACCACATCACTAGGGCTGAAAGCAACCAATTTTCACCGCGTTGATAATGTCGCCCTCATGATTGTTGGACTCTTTTACTCCTTTTTCAAATGTGACGTGTGTCGCTTTATGTCGTGACGCACATTCCTTGAAGAGGTAGTCCAAGGCAAGATGGTTCAGAGCACGAATTTACTGACCGCAAGGTCCTTGGTTCGAACCCGACCTCTGCATCTCGACTTCCCTTGTCTGGGCTCGGGCAACCTGGCGTTATCTCAGCCCTCGTGCTCCCTTTGGGTGGCATGGCAGCTAGGCACCGAAACGATGTTGCAGCTGAACGATTTTTTACATATTTTATTCACTCAGCTCCCCGGGGTAGTGGCTATCAAGACTGGGTCGTACGCTATTTCAGGGCTTTCTAATCTGAGTCTAAGACGCGTGACACACCTTATCACTCAGAAACTTGGACTCAAATGTCCGATCGAGATTATTACCTTAGCTAACACTTTTCAACATGCGCGAACGTCCATGCTCAGTTTGGTTTGCACAGATTAGGCGAATGATTCTGAGTAGTGCAGCAAACACTTCCGAACAGCGCTATTGATTAATTTTGTCGACACTTCAGACCCGTTTGTGTTGAAAAAAAAAACGAATCCCCCCATATAGAGAGTTCTCCTTCGTCAGTATCTCGGGTTTTTTGTCCGAAGGGGACCACTAGATTTTCCAATGAACAGTTGGACTATTCAGTTCGTGTAATGACTTTAATATTCTCATTTCCTCGCCGTACTTTCGCGCCCTCTTAACAGGTGATCCGCGCGTTGAAGTGATCCTGATCAACATCTTTGGCGGGATTGTGAACTGCAAGCTGGTAGCTGAAGGACTGATAAACGGTTTCAAAAGACTAGGTGTCCATGTTCCGGTGGTCGTTCGTCTTGCCGGGAACAACAGCGAGGTAGCCGCGGACTTGTTGTCCAAATCTGGTGTTGGTCTCACCCCGGCTCTCACGATGGATGAAGCTGCCCGATTGGCCGTCTCCAAAGCGTCGGCCGAACAGGCTGAACTTGCCTAATCACCACCTGCTCACTTTTACCATTCCTCTGTGCAATCATTCCTCTACTTTTCAAGACCCAAGAATTTAAGCCAGAGGTGTTGCCCATTTCTTTTCGCAATTGTGCACAGTTAGGCCACATCGTCGAATAAATTCAGCTCGTTGTTTATGTTGTTGTCTTTCATTTAGCTAGGTCAGCTACTCCCATTGTGGCCCCCTACCTACCTACGGGCGTTTTCGTTCTGCATCAAACTAACCCCTGCTATGCGTTCTTCTCCTGGCCGTACAGCACTCAAATCACTGCCAGTGAACCAAATATAGTTCACTGGTCAAGGCTCGAACCTACTGGCTCGAGTTCTGTTGTTCGAAGCCCATCCTGGCCTCTCGATTTTTCCTGTCCGGACTTGGGCAACTTAGCGGTGCTTCCTTCTGGTGGCAGGGTAGTCAGGTGCTGGAATAGTGTTTCAGCTGAAAGATCGCTTTTATTTAGCGAAATATACTCATTCGCAAACAAATTTAGTTTTGTGGGAGACTCGCCTGCAACCCACCTGAATCTCTCGTTTATGATGGTTTATTTTCACGTAGTTTTGGCCGGTGGAAGGAGAGAAAAGATTGCAGCATAGTACGTGAAAACCTAAATGCTTGACTCAACTTGGTGGATCGTTAATGTCGAAGCCTAAAAGGGTAATGCAACACACATTCTCAACCACCGGAAGGCCTGTGGTGGATGGACGATCATTGGGCTGCGTGAAGTGCAAAGGCATTCATTTTCACCTAGAAATTGAGAGTTCTGTCGTACTCTCGGTCAACCAAAGTTTTTTTGGTGAAAAAGTCCGAATGCACGGCCGTAGTGGTCTGGCAGATCGATCGTAGCTCAATTCTAAACATTTCACCACGCATGTCGCAACCTCTGACTCGGAACACCGGGAGACTGTGTTAGGCGGGACCCTATGCATTGAGAAACCTGGTATGATATACCCAGCTGGAAACCCCCAGTAAGACTCAATATGTTGTGGACCAGTGTGCATAGAATGTCAATCAAACACAAGGTACAAAGTACTGCCTAACTATTCCCTGTCGTGTGAACATAAGACGACAGGTAATCGTTCAGCCGTAACACCCTTTCGGTGCCTAGCTGCCGTGCCACACGAAGGAAGCACGAGGACTGGGATACTGCCAGGTTGCCCAAGCCTAAACATGGGAAGTTGAGAGCCAGGGGTCCGTTTCGAACCAGGAACCTTCCGTTCAGTACATTCACGCTCTAACCACTGGGCCATCTTGCCCCCCCCCCCCCTCGATGTTTGAATGGGCATTCCGAGACGGGATGTGTACAGTGTCAATCGTACACGACACTTTGCAGACCACGATGACATACAGTATACAACCATTCCGATAAGTTCACTGGAGATTTCATCCTGTTAGTGAAGTCAAACTTTTTGGAAATCATCAGCAGTGCGCATCTCACGAAACTCCGCTAGGGTGTTTCGAATCCGGGACTTTCCGTCCAATGGCCACGAGTAGTTGATCAGTAGTGTGATTAGCTCTCATCTAGACAGGGCACAGCGGACGTACTGACTAGCTCCTCAGAAGTAAATTTCACGCATCCAGTGAAATTATCCTTCTGAGTTTTTTTTCTTGTTTCATAGTATTCTGAAGAGATTTACCAATATTCAATACAGGTTTCATCACGATGGAACTTTTCTAGGATGGGCCACAAGAAATCCTTACAAACAGGTTTTCCAAGCCGTCATCAACTTTACTGGATTACGTCCTGCACCTGCCATGTCGCTCCTTCATTTTGGAGTCTAAATTGCCGGAGATTTCGTCCACACACCAAATATCCTATCGATAATATTGCATTGAAAACAGAGCCTGTTACAGAAACTGGCGTATTGATCCAGATTATAAGCAAAAATCAATTTTTAACATCGACGGAGTTTCTGAATTTGGTGATGTTTCGTAAAGCAATGTCTGATCGGTTGGCGACAAATATCTACCCAAAACGCAAGACTGGAAGTCTAAATGTTTGTGATTAGAGGGGTAGGGTTAAACTAGACCATTGCAATGGGACACGGTGTTCCCGCTTGAAAGGATGTCCCCAAGAGAGCGTACTTCCAAGAACTGCGCGATGTTTCGTCTCGGGTACACCCAAGAGTGTCACTTGCAAGAAAAGAACAACCCTTTTAATGGAGATTTCATCCTGTAAGTAAAGCCAGTCTATGCTGCACGATCGGGCGACGCTGTACAGCTGTCTCATCATTTTTGGGAATTGTCAACAGTGCGTATCTCACGGAACCCGTGACCTCTAGCCTAGTAGTTTGAACACAACCGTTCGGCCACGAGCAGCTGATCATTAATATGTGTGACGTCACACTGCAGACCACCCGAGCATGGCCAAACGGTTAAGTGTTCAAGCTACTAGCCTGAACTTCGTGAATCTCAAACTCCCTGGGGTTTCGTGCTGCTGCTGATTCCCAATAAGGATGAAACAGCTTTACAATGTTACTCGGCTTTCCCGGATCCCCTCACACAACCAACAGAATGACCTGGTCACTGAGGCTGAAACCTATTTTATTCATGCACTGCCTATGATATCGTTTCAGTGCACAGCTTCCATGCCACCCGAAGGAAGCACGGGGGCTGAGTACTGTCACTGACAAGAGCATCTGGGATACCGGGGTTGTATTCGAGCCTTCAGGTCAGGAAATGTGCGCCTTAACGACTGAACTATCTCGACCTCGTATGAAAAAGAGTTCAGCTATTTTGAAGGGAATTTCATTGCTCAACGTTTCGGTCACCTCGAGCAAGTTCCTCTGTGGCGGCTTAATAGTTTGATTTCAGAGCTTCCTTAGTTCATCCTGAGGACTGTCAGTGTCATTCAGAAATCGTTGTATCCAGGTTCTCTCAATGTGCGTATTTTTTAGAGGTAGTAGAAGCGTGATTTTTGGACTCACTGAAAACCCCACAGATTGGCCAGGATTTTCTTTAATTGTGAAGGTAAGTGCTGAATTGTAACTTGAAATCGTTGAGTATGGCGTTTGTCTTTTCGGTGGATATTTGCGCCCCCCCCCCCCTAAGTGAACTGCTTGAGTACATTCTTCCCCAAAATCAGCGTCATTCAATGTTACTATAACGTTGCTCTAGTCCGCTTTCCAAACGTGAATTGTTGGGCCTCTTCTCAAGCATAAAAATGAGTACAATCCATTCAGATGTGGATCCCTCAGCCTCCACACAAGCCACACCCCCAAACATGAGCTTGACTAACCATAAAAGTGCGTTGAATGCTGGCTGTCAGTAGCAACTGGTGTGTTCCCTTGCCTCTGTTGATTTGCTTCGCTCAATTCTAGTCAGTTTTGCCCGTTGAGGAATGAAATACCGCTCGAAAACTTTTTATTTCTTTTCCAGCTGCTACACTAGAAGCGAGATGGCTGAGTGGTTACAGCGCGAATTTACTGACCGGAAGGTTCACTGGTTCGAATCCAACCTCCGCCTCTCGACTTCCTCTGTATAGGCTTGGACAACCTGGCAGTATCTCATCCCTCGTGCCCCCTTCGGGTGGCATAGGAGCTAGGCACCGAAACGATGTTGCAACTGAATAATTGACCAATTGATGTGATGATAAAACCGATTATCGTGCCGTTTTTGGGTTATGGTTCCGTGAAGTGTCCATTTCGACCCAAGGGCTCGGAGCTTGCTGTGACACTCATATTCAGTTGAGGTCTCCAAGGCCCATTGAGCCTCAAACTCCCCTAAAATTAGCAGTCAATCGAACAAATCCGTTCGTACTGAGTGCATACACGAAAGCACCCGCTTTCTGTTTACAAAGATGTTTCAACTATTCTCACTGGCCTTTTCGAAGTCTTCCACGTCCAGTTATGCGACAGTCTTCTTTGAGCGAATAGAGTTACGTCGTATGATACATGTGGTCACCACCTCACTCCATTCTGATTGGTTTGATTCAAAAGTTTACATTTGCATCACTGTGGGTAAACAAACTACTAACTCTTTTGGTGCCTGACACCCAAAGGGAGCAGAAGGATTGGGATTTTGACATGTTTCCCAAGTCTAGACAGGAATAGTTGTGATGCAATGGTTGCGGTGTATGGAGCTGGAGATGAAGTTTAGCCATATAGTTCCATTGTAGGTTAGTCTCTGTCAGGAAGGCCAGGTTCCTGAAAGCAACCGCTGGACGGCGACTCTTAGCTCCGCTGAGTGTTGACCAGACAGGCAACGCCCCCTCAATAGGCAGCGCGTCACAGCCTTGTATCAAACCCAGACAGGACGAGTCAGCGTTGATCAAGGTCAGACAACGCTCCCGCAATATGCAGCGCGTCGCAGCCTCGTATCAAGGCTAGACCGCGTGTATCAGCATTGGACCAAGTTAGACAGTGTCCGTCCAATAAATAGCTTGAGACCGTTATATTCTCGCACTCGCTTGTTTGGAATAGAGCTGTTGTGTTCCCTTCTGTCAGCCTTTTTCCCGGCATTAGGCACCGGAGCGGGTCAGAGTCAGGTACCACAGATTAGCGAATCAGGCTCCAACGGCATATTTCTGGGCGTTGAAATAAGGCCATCTTACTTATTAAGGTTCAACTACTCAAACGAAGTGCTTCCGTGCTTCTGAACCTCATCCGAAAGACGGAAAATGAAGGTTCGCTTACCCTTAGCAGGTCCGAAATCGATAGGGAACAATAGGGCTGCCCCAAGGTTCTTCAGTTCACCACAAAAAACTGATGATGTTCTGACTCATTAGACAATACCCGACAGGGACCCCAAACTATGGTAACCTGAATGATATGCGCCGAAGTCAAGGTTTCCTGTTCGCTAGTAAAGTTTGTAACTTGGCTAAAAGATATTTAATCCCATAGACAGTTCGATACGACGGAGGTCGAACACAGGACATGGGAAAATGATCATTCTGCGACAGGGAATGGTTTCTTTGGGGTCGATTATTGTGCGGTCAAGGATCTTCATATCAGAGAGGATGTTTCCA